AATCTAATTGTTCAGTCATTTGTAGTGCCTACATCAAATTACAAAAAAGATGAAATATTGATTGCTGTAAAATGGTTATTTTAAATAATTAATTTGAGATTAAATATTATTGACCATTACGTTGAAGAAATCTCCTTCTTTCCTCCCTCATACACTGAAGTTTCAGCATTCCAAGAAAGCAATTAAATGTCATTTATCATTTGTAAAATAGCATGTATGTATAATTACAGGCCTAGGTGGTCCATAGTTAAAACAGAATGAAATTAAATTTAAAAAATGTCTTAGGACATATTTTTCCTATGAAGGACACACTTAAGTGCAGTCTTAGCCCTTTAAAATAACTGCAAATGCTCATGATTAAGTGATTTAATTTTTTTGTTTTGTTTGTTTGTTTGCAATATAGAGAGAGGTGTGTCTTTGTGTGTGAGTGAGAAAAAGAGGCAGGGGGAGAAGGAGGATGAAATATGCCCTAGATGCCTTTGTTTCAGTAGCTTTTCAGTCCTGCCACTGGAATTGAGAAAATGGACTAAACATTTACATTTATGTTTAAAATAGAGGATGCTATTTTTCTCTGCCTTATGCTTCTTCCTCTTTCTTTAAGCTACGGGAGTGTCACCATACTGCATATTCCTTTATGTAGGCATAGCTAGTGTACTAGTCTGAACACCTCTACTTGGATAACCCATCTCGCATTAATCCACTTTTTGTGTGTGTGTGTGTGTGTGTGTGTGTGTGTGTGTGTGTGTTTTATTGGTGAATGCTTTTAGGAGTTGAATAATGAATATGGTTTATGGACTTAATTACTGAAGTAGTAATTATGTGGTAGAGAAAAAATTAAAATGTTCAATCACAAGGTCATTAACAAAGAATGAAAAATAATCAAGGGCAAAAGAAGAAAGAAGGTTTTAAGATAAAATCCAAACTTGAGTATTAGAACCACTTCATTGAGTGAGGCATAGGAATGATTTTTGCAGAGGATAGAACCTGTACTAACAGAAGAGTCCAGTTCTGTTAGTAACAATTTTTTTTGTACTTAAATACAGTGACATGAGCATATTTGAATGGGCTGTAATAAAGTTTTGGAAAAAGTGGATATAAGAAAAGCCACACAATTGTAGTTAAAAAATCAACAGTGGTATGTGTGGCACATTACAGAGAATACTCTTTTGGTCTTTGTTCATTATTTCAGGCAGGTTTTACATGGAGTAAGAGTTGTTTACTTTCATGAAATCCCACTTTCTGATCTAAGGTAAACAGGACAGTTTCAAAGATAGGGGCTCACAGTCATTCATAGCCTTTTTACTGCATTCATTTTTAAATGCCTTATTTCAAACAATGTTCTGGTTTATGATTTTCCTATGTTTTCCCTTTTAAAAAGAGGCAGATGGTATGAAAACTGGACTCCCTTATTTAAAGGGAGTGTTGATATTTATAACAGGCTTATCTCCAACAAGATTTATTTTTTTGCAGCTGTTTTAGGTTGGAAAAAAATATTATATTAAAGCCATGGCTTGTTTTTCTTTCTGTAGCTGGGGAGGTGGGGATTGTTAGAATGTGAAAGAGTGATGTTTGATTTTTCATGTGAATACAGTGTAAACAGTTTTTTCTTTTGCTTCTGTCTGTGAATTTTTCTGTTTGTATGCTGTTTTCTCACTGAGCTATTTCCTAGATATATCACAGTTGAGAAATAATTTACTCATCATTTTCATTTTATCAATGTATTCTAGGTATGCAGGAGATTTTCATTCTGAGTTAGCCTATGTTATTGAATAAACCACTTTCTAATTTTCCATTTTGATAATTTAGTCATTTTCGTTCTTGAGCATCTGTTACATTGGGAAATTAACATTTTCTGTTCTCTTATATAATTACACTAGAGGCCCGGTGCACGAAATTCGTGCACTCGGTGGGGGGGTGTCCCTCAGCCTGGCCTGCACCCTCTCACAGTCTGGGAGCCCTTGGGGGATGTCCAACTGATGGCATAGGCCTGCTTCCTGCGGGGAGTGGCCCTAAGCTCGCAGTTGGACATCCTTAGTGCTGCTGTGGAGGTGGGAGAGGCTCCCACCACCGCCGCTGCGCTCACCAGCCGTGAGCCCAGCTTCTGGCTGAGCGGTGCTCCCCCTGTGGGAACACACTGACCACCAGGGGGCAGCTCCTGCATTGAGCAGGATTGGGTCAAAACCATCTCTCCGACATCCTCCAAGGGGTCCTGATTGCGAGAGGGCACAGGCCAGGCCGAGGGACCCCACTGGTGCACGATTGAGGCCAGGGAGGGACTGAGGGAGGACTCCAGGGCGTGTCCAGCCTGTCTTGCTCAGTCCAGATTGGCTGAACCCCAGCAGCAAGCTAACCTACTGGTCAAAGCGTCTGTCCCCTGGTGGGCAGTGCATGTGATAATGATTGGTCGACTGATCAACTCTCTGCCCCCTGGTGGTCAGTGCACATCATAGCGAGTGGTTGAGTGGCCTTAGCATATCATTAGCATATTACACTTTGATTGGTTGAACAGACCACTGGACACTTAGCATATTAGACTTTTATTATATAGGATTATTTACTATAAGATATAATTTTCTTCTTTTTATTTTCTATTCTTTGCCTCTATATTTTATCACAAATGATGCTATTTCTCTGGATATGTTTTAGAACAGCCATGGGCAAACTACGGCCCGTTTGAAATGAATAAAACTAAAAAAAAAAAAAAGACCATACCCTTTTATGTAATGATGTTTACTTTGAATTTATATTAGTTCACACAAACACTCCATCCATGCTTTTGTTCCAGCCTTCCGGTCCAGTTTAAGAACCCATTGTGGCCCTCGAGTCAAAAAGTTTGCCCACCCCTGTTTTAAAAACTTTATTATTTAACTGAAAATTAATTATACTTTATGCTCTAAACTTAATGCATGGAGCTATTTCTTTGACCACAAGATAGCACTAGGATGAATATCTGTGCCTGTACACACATACTATCTTTGTATTTATATGTTCTGTATATGTGCGTACACATAACAAATTTTCTAGAGTATTTTTATAATAAATATATTGATTTATTGTGAATATATGTGATAATGGATTCATGTAGAGACAACTTATATAGCTTGCATGTCAAATTAAATAGTTTCACTATTTACAGATATTACCTTCCTGAATATGAAATATGATTATGTCAGACTTGTGTATTTTTCCTTTTTAATAATGGAAACCAAAAATATTATTTAAAAGTTTATGTTGCTTTTTAGCGCTCACATCTAAATTATTTACAGTATCATCATGAAGACTAGAATATTGCTTAAATCTATGAAACCTACCATTAGGTTTCAGGTGTGTATTAGCTTCTATTGCCACATAACAAATTATCATAAACTTAGTAAGCCCGGACTGGTTTGGCTCAGTGGATAGAGCCTTGGCCTGCGGACTGAAGGGTCCCGGGTTCGATTCCGGTCAAGGGCATGTACCTTGGTTGCGGGCACATCCCCAGGAGGGAGTGTGCAGGAGGCAGTTGGTCGATGTTTCTCTCTCATCGATGTTTCTAACTCTCTATCCCTCTCCCTTCCTCTCTGTAAAAAAATCAATAAAATATATTTTAAAAAAAAAACCTTAGTGGAAACAACTTACCACTAAGTTTATAGATCAGTAGGCCAACATAATGTCTTCTGCTCAGGGTCTTACAGACCTGAAATCAAATGCCAGCCAGGCTGTTCAAGGCTCTCTGGAAGAATCCACTTCTAAGCTCATGTAGGTTGATGGCTGGATTTATTTCCTTGTGGTTGTAGGACTGGTGTCCTCGTTCCCTCCTTGTCTGACTAACCTTTTCCAGGCCATACACATTTCTTGCAATGTGGCCCCAATCAGCAGTAGAGCATTTCTTGTGCATCATATCCCTTTCACTCTGAATATCTCTGACTTCTCTGACTCTGACCTCTAGATTGAAAGTGCTGATATTAGATCAGTCCCACTTGGATGATATCCCTATTTTATTTTACTTCTTTAAATATGTTCTCTTTCCCACACTTATTATTGTTTAATTTCTTAACATTTTTATTGAATTTATTGGGGTAACATTGGTAAATAAAATCATATAGGTTTCAGGTGTACAGTTCTATAATACATTATGTGTATACGAGGGGCCCAGTGCATGAATTCACGTACCTTGAAAGGAACTGTGGGCCACAAGGCTGCAGTGAGCACAGGGGCGGGTCTCAGCCCATCCTCCGCGCCCCCGCCTGGCCCCCAGTCCCATCTGCCTGCAGTAGGTGCGATTGGGGCTGGTGCCAGCAGCGGGTGCAAGAGGCATCTGTTGCCCCGATCGTCCCTCAGGAGCAGGGGGAGATGGAGAAGCTCTGAGGGGCGATTGGTGCCGGCAGCCACTGCTTGCACCTGCTGACAGTGCCGAGCGATCGGGGCCATTGCTGGGTGCCGGCAGTGGGTGCGAGCGCCTGGTGGGACCTCAGCGCATGGGGGCAAAGAATTTTCAGTAACCACCAGCGGCTTGCCCCGATGACAGCGACTGGCGCCCTGCCTTGGTCTGGTGCCCCCACTCACCTGCTCCATCATCCCACCATGGCCGACGCCTGCCATCATCCGCGCACGCCCCCTGGTGGTCAGCGCAAGTCATAGCAACCAGTGGCTCGGTTGTTCCGCTGTTTGGTCTATTTGCACATTAGGGTTTTATATATATAGGTATTGTATTGCGTGCTCACCACCCAAAGTCAGGTCTCCTTCCATCACCATTTATATCCCCTTTACCCTCTGCTACCTCCTTACCACCTTTCTCTCTGGCAATCACTGTACTGGTGTCCATGTCTAGGAGGATGTTTGCTTGTTTTCTTTTTGCTTAACCTCTTTACTTTTTCACCCAACCCCCCAAACTCCTTCTGAAAGCTGTCAGACTGTTCTCTGTATTTATGAATCTGTTTCTATTTTGTTTATTTTGCTCATTAGATGCCACATATAAGTGAAATCATATGGTATTTGTCTTTCTCTGACTGGCTTATTTCACTTAGCATAATACTCTCCAGGTCCATCCATGCTGTCACAAAAGGTAAGATTTCCTTCTTTTTTATGGCTGAGTAGAATTCCATTGTCTAAATGTACCACAGTTTTTTTTTTATCAACTCATCTGATGGGCACTTGGGCTGCTTCCAAATCTTGACTATTATAAATAATTCTGCAATGAACATAGGGGTGCATACATTCTCTTGAATCAGTGCTTCTGATTTCTTTGGATATATTCCCAGAAATGGAATCTCTGGGTCATAAGGAAATTCCATTTTTTAATTTTTAATTTTCTTTTATTATTTTTTAATAATGTATCAGAGTTTCAGTTGTTTCACATCCTCCCAATTATTTTGTGTATAGTTAATCTTTATTTGAACCATTCTAGTGGATGTATAGTGGTACCTAAATTTTAATTTTAATTTGCATTTTGCTGATTACTAATGGTGTTAACAACTTTTTAATGTGCAAAACCATTTTAAGAAAGGATATTAAAAACAAAAACACTTTTTTTTTATTCCTCAACTGAGAACATGTTTATTGATTTATTTTGAGAAAGAGAGAGAAACATTGATGCGGGAGAAATATCAATTACCTCCCATATTTGCCCCATTAGGGCATCGAACATACAACCTCTTGGTATTTGGGATGATACTTCAAAAAACTGAACATCTAAATGATATTCTAAAAAACTGAACCACCCAGCAAAACAAAAACACTTTTTAATCTTAAAAGTTCTAAAGAGTAGAAAGTTTTAATTAAATAAGAAATTATGAATTATTTTAATATGCAGTTTTAGATATTTAATAAAATTAGTACCTTCTTCCTTAAGTATGTGTTATCAAGTTTCAAAAATGTTAAAATCTCTGATGATTTAATCAAATTATTCCTACAGCAATGTCCATAAATAATAAATACTTTCTTATTCATATTTTAGTTGCTTTAGCTATCAGAGCAAGTTAGTTCCTCAGGGAATGTAGTGTTCTTTGTAAAAGAAGGTGATGAGATGTCCTCTCCAAGGAATCAAATTGTGAAAACAATCTTGGTATTGTACATGCTAATATAAATCTGTTATTCCCTTTCCGCCTCTATCAGAGCACATTTTAAATTGTGCCGATGCTGTATGCAAATAGATGTCTTATTAGAAACTGGGGCTGTATGTGCTAATGTCTCCCTGGATTTCTCGGGAGTTTGCTGTCTAACCATCACAGCAATAGAAAAGAATGGTGATTACTGTAAGGCTTTGAAGAACAAAGAAAAGTCAGACTATTTTAGAGGTTGTAGATGTCTGAGGCACTGACAGTTGTCACCATCACATGCATGGGTATCTCTTTTCTAACTTCTTGTTTGTTGTAGCTAATAAATTGTGAATCCTTTGTGCATGCCTGCATTCTCTAGGCACTTTCATCTTAAAATTTGGTAGAATGTCATTTTGCTCAAAGAATCTATAATAATAAAAGCATAATATGCTAATTAGACCAGACAGCCAACTGACCTTCCAGACGAAGCTCTGGCAGCGGGGCCGAGGTAGAGGTGGTTTGGGGCAATCAGGCAGGCAGGCGAGCAGTTAGGGGCGATCAAGCATGCAGGCAGAATGGTTAGGGGCAATCAGGCAGTCAGGGGAGCAGTTAGGAGTGATCAGGGAGGCAGGCCAGCGGTTAGGGGTGATCAGGCAGGCAGGCAGGCAGAGGGGTTAAGGGTAATTAGGCAGGCAGGCAGAATGGTTAGGGGTGATGAGGCAGGAAGGTGAGTGGTTAGGGGCAATGAGACAGGCAGGCAGGCAGGCAGGCAGGCAAGCAGTTAGGAGCCAGTGGTCCCAGATGGTGAGAGGGTGCAGGCCGGGCTGAGGAGAAAACCCCTTGCCACCCCCCCCCCCGACCCCCCGCATGAATTTCTTGCACCGGGCCTCTAGTAGCATATAATAATTTCAAAGACAAGATGAAGATTTTACATTTTTTGACATTTTGATTAGGGATTACCAACCACTAAAAAAAAATAGGAACAAAAATTTAAAATTTGTTTCTCTTGAATTAATTTCCTAGGTTGAAATTCTTTTAAAGTTTTAATATTCACATAATATAAAATGTGTTTGTTCATAGATGGTATATCCTTATAAAAATTTAGGTTCTTAAGATTTTGGGGGTATAATTTTTTTATTTAAAGTGCATTTTAAAATAAATAAAATTCAATTTACTTTGATGAAAAGATATTGTCTGTGGATCCCTTATTTTATTGTTTATTACATGTAATGAATCAGTAAAATACTGGCCTCTAAATGTTATCTTTGGTAGGATGTTGGTTTAAATGACCAGGAAGGAATTGGAGGAAGAATAGTGAGTGACTGTTTTAGTGGATAGTGTAAGTAATTTTTTTTTTAAAATATATTTTATTGATTTTTTACAGAGAGAAAGGGAGAGAGATAGAGAGTTAGAAACATCGATGAGAGAGAAACATCGATCAGCTGCCTCCTGCACATCTCCCACCGGGGATGTGCCCGCAACCCAGGTACATGCCCCTGACCAGAATCGAACCTGGGACCTTTCAGTCCGCAGGCCAACGCTCTATCCACTGGGCCAAACCGGTTTTGGTGGATAGTGTAAGTAATTTTTAAAAATTTAGGTTATTCTATAAAGGTGACAAGCAAAACTAAATTGAAGAGGAAGTAATGTTTTCTGTGTTTTATTCATTTATCCTAACTTTTAAAATGAAGTGATATATTTTTTTAGCTCCACACAATGAATTAAAATGACTCCTCTTTACAATTAAGAAATACAAAACACTATGCAAATAGTTTCTATATGAATAAGTATATATTTTGACATTTTTATGGTATTTATATTAACAGTATTAATTTTTAATGTTCTGAATTATTAAAAGTGAGACAATAGGATTAGGTGATGTCCTGGTTTCATTTCTGGAATTTTAAGGATGTGTTAGCTTGTATTTAGTAACTACATGGTTTATGAGGAATGAAAATGTAATTTGACTTTTGTCTTCATTTGTATATTCTTAAATATTAGCATAATATTAAATATGAAGATTTTTATGAATAGGAAAATGGATTTTTGCTGAGTTTATAATTTTCTTATACATATGTAAAAATTATTAATTTGGGAGTGCCTTTTACTGTACTAGGTGGGATCATTGCTAACATTGCTCTGTGTGACCATATACATATGTGAACAGTACAGTTTGGTCTGAACGTATTCAAATTCATTTGGCATTTGAGAACCTTAATAATGCTTATTAGTAAAACTATACCTTGACAATTACATCAGTTTATATGGAGACATTTAACCATGTTTGTTTTAATTAGGGTGATACTACTGACTATAATTAATAGATACAAAAAAGGACAGAGGCCCGTATGCTACAGTTTATTTCTTGTTCTCATGTCAGCATGAAAGAGGAAAACAAGTTGGTTGAATAGCCCTTTTCTGTGCAGTCACTCAGGATCCAGGATGTAACATTTGCCATCTTCATGACATTTTTTTCAGTGTCACTCTGGAGGTCACCTCCATTTGAGCCAGATGAATGAGGAGCATATGAATAAGTTGCAGGCATTAATTTACTCATATTTCATTGGCTGAAACTCAGTCACATGCCCACAACTAGCATCAAAGGAAGCTGGAAAATGTGGTCCAGTGTGCTCAGTAAACAAAAGAGAGAACATGTACTTCATTGAGTAGCCAACAGCTTTTCCTATAGTCCATCTTTCTTGTCATGAAATAGCCATGCACATCCTCTTTCCTGCCTTCCCAGAAGGGAAATCCTAAAGTTCCCATCTGTTGCATCCAGGAGAAAGTCAAAGATCTGAAGCCAAGGTGGTCTCCCCTCTCAAACTGGAATGTGGTTCCTTGAGGTTTACAGACTATGAAATTTACCTACTCTTTCCCAGTCTCACCAATCTATATATGTAAAGGCTAATATGCTAAGTGTCCTTCCCTCCATCCAGGTAACGCCCGGCTTCCTCTCCCTACCAACAGCTAGCCTCGCAGTTTTTTCATAGCCAGGTGCAAACATTTCATACTTTAACCAAATGTCTGTGAAGCATTTTCCCATGCCTCATCTTATTTGATCCTCACAGAATTCCTGGAGTAGGTAGGTAGGACACTCGGTGGAATCCTATTTTCTTTTCATTAGCTGGAAAACAGAGACTTAAATAGCTTAGAAACTTGACTTGACTAAAAAGAAATAAGAAATGGTGGAACTTGAAAATGATTTCAGGTTTTCTCACTGTGCAGAATATAGTCAAACACTGCTGCAGTTAAATATTTTATTCTTGTTCTCCCTGCGTGATCTACAATAATAATCTCCTTCGTGTTTATATTTACTGCTGTGTTGCTGAAAATTACCTGAAAGAGAAGTTGGGGTGGAAAAAGTTTAGCTACATCAGAGAGTAGGTCTAATTAAGCAAGTTTATTCTTATATATATAAGCAAGTATATATATAAAAGGCTAAGTTGACTTGCGCATGCATGAGACATATAAAGCTCTCACTGGCACCAGTCGCACGCATGTATTTCGATCTGTCATTGTCAATCATGAATTTGGTTGACACTTCTATTGTAGAGAAAGGGCGAATAGCGATATTAAAATATTTCTTCTAATTTCCTGCCAATGTGCATGAATCTGTGCACCGGGCCACTAGTCCCCTAATGAATAATGGTAAAGCAGAGGATAACTGCATCTTACCTCCAGCAATTACTGCTGTTTTGAAAGAGAAGAATGGGAAACACACAGGAGTCTTGGTTCATTATGATGATGAAACCTGCTGCACAGGAGACTACTAAGAAGGCCCATTATACTGACAGTAGAAGTTATTTGCTTGTGTTACTGAACAGAGAGTTAGTCTACGCAGCACACAAGAGCCAAGCACTAAACACTGAGAACTGCAGCGAAGAACTTAGAGTCACTTTATTGGCAGAGCCCTAAGCAAGGAGAACGGGAAAGCTATGGCTCAAAAGCCTGAACTTCCCAGTCAGGCATTCAAGTGAGTTTCTAGGGGGTTAAGGGGAACAGGTATGTGGAAGTGCTGGTGGGGTGGGGGGCAGGTTTTTGTTTTGTTTTTATCCTAACCCAAAGGTATGCTTTTATTGATTTTATAGAAATATTTGGCTTTTACAAGTTGGCTTTTCCAACCTTGTTAGTCTCCAGATTCTCTGGCTCTGTATTCCCTTGCTTAAATACAGGTCAGTTATTGTCAGACCTCGTCTTTATCGAGTAGCATCCTTACTAGAAGCAGAGCAACAACTTCCAGGCCACTTGGGAACTCTTAGGTCTGCAGTGAGACCCCACCAATGAATGTAAGGTGCTCAACCATAATAGAAGTTCATTCCATTTTCAGCAGAGCACTATGATGGTAAACAAGTTAGAACTCCCCTCCAGCCCAGGCTGACCAAGGTTCTATGTTCCTGTAAATGTACCCTTAGGGCTTGTCTGGGGATCATTTCCATTCTAGCTAATTAGATGGGGAAGGGAGATCTCAACAAGGGAGGTCTTAATGCTCAGGTCTGCAAGTGACACACATCACTTCCATTCATACTCTGCTAACAACAACTCAGTTACGTGTTTGCACTGAGGTTAGGAATTACAGTGTAACTCTGTGCCAGGAAGAAAAGGGGAATATGGATTTTGGTGAGTAGCTTGTCTCTGCCGCAATATTTAAACTCAATAAAACTAATAGGATTTGAAAGATATGTGGTAGATTGAATCAAACAGGGCTTATGATGTAGTAAGAATAAGAATATTAGAATATGCAGTAGTAGTTTAAACTGTTTACTGAAGAAAGGCAGAACTAGAATTCAAAGTCAAGTGCTTTTGTTACCTGTGTCATGCCTTATAAAATAAAATTTGAAGTACGTGGGATTCAAACTTCAGCCTCGTTGTGTAGCAGAGGAGGTAATTGGAGAGAAACACGCTGTCAAGAGCCTGCCTGCAGCTTCAAACCATGTGAATAAACACAGTACTACGTTATTTCCACATTTACAGACGTGCCCTCTCTGTGTGGTTTAATTAGCATTGATAGTTCTGGATAAAATGAGTGTTACCAAGAACAAATGATTGGGAAGTTTAATTATCAGCAGTTGTATCCTTGATAATTTTTTTGAAATAATTTTGTGTTCTTTACTAATATCTAATGGGAATAAGTCAAAGGCACTTTTACCCATTGCTTTAGAGATGAAGTTTATGGAATAAATTATTCCTGAAGTTTGTAGACAGTGCTTTTGATTTTTTAGGATTTCATCATAATTTTTTTCTTTTCTTTGCAGAAGGCATTTTGGAGATCAAAGATGGGTAGAAAAGATGCCTCCACTGTAAAACTTCCTGTTGATCAGTACAGAAAGCAAATTGGTAAGCGGTAAATTTCCCTTTGATACATTTCTGCAAATTAAGATAAAGAAAAAAAGCAATTATATGTGGTATTAAGAAAATAACTTTCCCCTAATACTTATAACATACAGAATGTGGTTAATAAAAGACTGTATAGAGTTTTTAAGGAGCAAAAATGTGCAGTCCTGCCTACTAATGGAGAAATACATTTTGTTTAACTATAATTTTTTTCAAAGCTTTTATAGTTTTTATTAACTTAATAAAAGCAAAAAATACATTTATTCTTAAGGCTAGGTGCTTTTATATAGGCACTATTTTTAATATTATCATCTATTTAATCTTTTTTATCCATGTAACAACTTGTAATTCTCTTGTTTATTAATGGTAATAATTTGATAACCTCAAAATGCTCCATTAAACTTTTACGTTAGTAAAATGGTGTACTGCCACTCATCAGCATAGGAAGATAAGAAGCTTATCTGTTTTATACTATACTCTATGTAGTATTTTCTACCCATTCTTTTCAAGGATGTGTGGAGTATTTATAAAAAAATTACTTACACACTAGTTACAAACCAAGACCCCCGATTTTAAAGAATCAATATACTACAACCACAACTCTGAACGAATTGTAATAAACTAGTAGTCAGAAGCAAAAAAGGTAACTTCTCCTTACCTAACCTCTATTCTCTTCGTTCACATTTCTTCCTATTCCACTTTTTTAAAAATTAAAAATAGTTAATAAAAAACCTTCTAAATAACTGAAGGATAAACAAGAGGTTGCAATAGAAATCAGAAGATAAGTAGAAATAATTGATACCAAAAGAATATATACCTATTACATAAATATGATACATAAGGTGCTCTCCATAAAAGAAAATATATTTCTGCAAAACAAAAGAGATGTAAATAAAGTGAAAAAATATTTAGAATACATAGAACCAATAAAATTTATATGTAGAAAAATAAAATCCTACTACAAATAAATAAAATAGTCCTGAAACTCAGTAGTAAAATGGTCAAAAAAAAAAAAATAGTTCATGCAAAAGGAAACCTAAATAGACAAAAACAAAACAAACAACTATTATAATAAATAATGAAAGGATCTTATGTAAATATCTAACTCACTTAACTGATAGATAAATGCAAATTACAAAACAGTATTTCTATTTGGATAATTTCTTGAGGGGAGGTTTATGATGTTTGATTTATTGTGTATTATCCTTTCTTCACTTGTAGGATGGCTGTGGATAAATATTGTGAGTTGTTAGTTATTGATTTGTTTAAATCTGACTGACCTACTAGACTGAAGTCTCTGATCAAATGGGATGGGCTAACCACATAACTGAAGAGTAACCATATCGGAAATCGATCCATAATCCAACTCTTCAATACACAGTTCTTAGAATTTAGACAATGTAGAACATTTCTATCTGCTCACATAGTCCCCCATCTCTGCTTGCAGGCAGTCTCTACCCAATCTCCAAGCGCAACCACTCTTCTGATTTCTATCACCATGAGAGAATTCTTTTTCTGCACAAAAAAGGCTAAGATTTGAATTAGTCTTAAATGTTCTGTTGTTTCTCTTAAAATATTAAGCAATATCTTTAACTGACTTGAAAACTTACTTAAATATGCTGTTTAACTTTCCTGAAGTTTTTTAAATCTTCCTTTGATACTTTCGTTGCTTTCCTTTGATTTTGTATCCGAACCCCCAAGGGTACATTGCGCACAGCAAGTATTTTTTAAAAATGTTTGTGAAAATTTTTTGGCTAAGTGCAAAGTAGACTTTGATATATTTTTATACCATCTTCTACTTAGTTACATTTCCCTGTGTACATAATAAGTTGTTGCTTGGTTAGCATTTTTTAATATGATTATTTTGGAAAGTAATTTATATATCTCATGAGCAACTTGTTGCTTTACCTTTGTAGCAAACTAAAGCATAGTACTTGTTTCTTAGTACTTAATGTGGTGTTAAGTGATGGTGTATCCTTTACAATTTATGACTAATATTAAGCTGTTCTGACCAAGCATTGAAAAATTATTAATTTGAGTTGCCTCTATAACGTAATATTAAAAAGTTTGCGTGAGATTTTTATTTATAAGGGTATTTATAATTTACCAGCTTCCTCTCATCTGCCCAGGTATTTCTAAATAATTTTGAGAAAAATACTTTTTGCAAGTTTTACTTCTATAGATACACCCCCCCCCTTTTTTTTTCTTGAGTGACTGTGTGGCATCATTTTGTATGTCTTGCTGACAATAAAAGTATACTATGAATTTTTTATTGTGTTTCTGGTTTTATAATTTTCTTTTTATTAACTTGACTAACATTTTCATTATTTTTTGCTTGTGAACATGCCATTTATTATTTTTATTCATCTTGTAGCCATCAAAAAGCAGACCCTTTGTTTATTAACATAGCTACTGAGTTTGCTATAGGACTCCATAAGAAAGACTATTGACCCTTGCTTTTGTAATGAGTTTTCTACAGTTATTTGTAGTATTTATTTTAATGTAATTTTATTGATTTCAGAGAGGAAGGGAAAGGGAGAGAGAGATAGAAACATCAATGATGAGAGAGAATCATTGGTAGGCTGCCTCCTGCACGCCCCCTACTGGGGATCGAACCCGGAACCTGGCCATGTGCCCTGACTGGGCATTGAACCCTAACTTCTAGTTCATAGGTTGACACTCAACCACTGAGCCACACCGGCCAGGCTATTTGTAGTTTTTAATGTAGTAACTAAAATTGTGTTCATATGGCAGTTGAGAAATTACTTTATATGCCAATTGTACTGCCCTTTCATAAGTAATTTTGGTAACATGAGAAAAATAAGATGCTAAATAGTGTTTTGTTTTTTGAGGAAGGAGGTAGGGATTTAGAGCAGTTGATGAGAAACTATTCTAAAAAATGTTGAAGGAAATATAAAAGTTTTTACTGTTGATTACCAAATTTTAATTTTTTTCAATATTTATGGCATGCTGTAAATAACTTGACTTCCAGTAATTTCTTTGAGCAATTAAATTTAGACTGCAGATTTTTTTTCAAATATTTTGACTCATCTCTGCTTTTCTATTGTATCTTAATTGGTGTGGTCTATATAAATGGACAATAAATTATATATCTGTGTTATAGCGATCAGACAGTGAATAGAACTCAGTATTCATCCCAAACAGAATTATGATTGAATGTATTTGCAAGATTAAAGCACTGAGTTTACTTTTTCCTAATTAAAGGCAATTAAAGATTTCCAGACACAAATAGAAGACAATGAATTGAGGAATAAGTGTAGAAGCAAGTCCATTTGCAGGTGAAAAGATGTGCCTTTGAAGCAGAACCAGCTGTATTTTCACTGAAAGAATAACAGTTTAGGAAGCTTTTCTGCATGTGCTTGCTTGATAGCATAATGTACTCATAAGCAGCTTATATAGTATTCAGAAAATAACCGTGCATTAATTTTTAAAGCAGCTAAGGCAGAGGAAGAGCATTGCTGCCACATGATGATAATGAGTGCGGTTGGTATAAAGTCCACTGACGAGAAAGAAAAAAACGGGTCTTCTGAAAGAGGAACATTTATAAAACAATAACCAGATATTCACATGATAATGAACTTGGGTAGCAATACCAACCCAGGGCAAAGATGCAGTCTTATATGTGGGCAAAGCTAAGGAATTGAAAAGCAAATACATAAAGCAATTAAGTAATGTATTTTTTCATTAAGCAGTGGCATAGGTGTAAATGAGTATTGCATTAAATATCAAATAATGACATAAACATAGGTTTTTATTTTGTATCAAATAGAGCATATAAATTCTATTCTTTTCTAAATGTAACATAAGAATAGTAAATGATAATATTATGGTACCAACTTATTTATGATCTTTATTAACTATATGTTTTTATAGCTACTTGTGGTTCTTTATAGAAACAGTGCCTATGCTAAAGTTAAATATATTAAACATACTGAATAAGAAAGGACTTTTAAAACAGATAATACCTGCTTATTAGAAATTATTACTGAAAATGGCATTTTAAAATATTGTTTGAAAAGCAGATACTACATAGATTGTCTGCAAAGTATATGTAAATAAAAAATATGAACATGTGTAGTATCATCTTTGCTATAAAAAAATCCAGGCATAATTTGAAAATTCTTATGCACCAGTGTTTTCTTTTTAGTTATGATTTTGCTTTTAGTTGATACTCATACTCCCTGTTTAAGACTGAAAATTCTGTTGATTATGTACGATGCGTTTTCAAGTATATCAATCTGTGTTTAACAGGAAAAATTAAAGACAAACTACTTTGATTTGTTAAAGTTGGTTGCAGTGGGAACTAGACACATTATCTTATTCTTCTGTAATTGGAAGAAACTTGATAATCGTTTGGGTATAAGAATAATTAAAATGAATCCAAGGAAAAGTACCCATTACACTTTGGTCTTAGTTTTAAAGGGGTGTGAGCCAGAGCTGGATATAGCCATGATTCCAGAGTGAAGCAAGAAACAGAAACTGGTGGTGGGAAGAGAAAGTTCTGCATAGTCAGTCAAGACTTGAATTCAGGTCAATCGCAACTAAACTCCTATGCTTAACTCCTGGAATCAGTCAATAATCAGTTAACCTTTTCATCTCTCCCTCCTCTTTTCCCTCCCTCTCCCTCATATTCATGCTATTTCAATTTGGATTTTTGTCTTTCTTTTATCATGAAAACTAGAGGCCCGGTGCATGACTTTCATGTACTCGGGGTGGGGGGAGTCCCTCAGCCCAGCCTGTGCCCTTTTGCAAGCCGGGAACCCTTGGGGGATGTTTGACTGATGCCTCAGGGAGCAGGCCTAAGCCTGCAGTCAGACATCCTTAGCACCACTACGCCACTGCTGCTGCACTCACCAACTGTCAGCCTGGCTTCTGGCTGAGCAGCACTCCCCCTGTGGGAGTGCACTGACCACCAGGGGGCAGCTCCTGCGTTGAGTGTCTGCCCCCTGGTGGTCAGTGTGTGTCATAGCGACCAGTTGTTTTGCCTTTCCGACGATTTGCATATTAGCCTTTTATTATATAGGATAAACCCGAAGAGGATCTAAGAAGATCCTCAACAATTACCCAGGTGTTTCCCAACCAAGCCTAGCACTGCTGTTCTGTAAGGCCAGGATCTTGAATGATACTGAATGATACCTTTTCTTTCTTTCTTCCTCCCTTCCTCCCTTCCTCCCTTCCTCCCTTCCTCCCTTCCTCCCTTCCTTCTCCTGTTGTGACCCAGCCTAAAGGAAGAAGAAGAAATATTTTTTAAAATTTGATAATGCTGATTTTACAGAGTAATTGGTTGTCTGGGGAAATGGGCATTACACTCTAGGAGCAAGCAAATAAATACACTTTCAGGTTATCATCATCAGTTCTCTGGTTGGTCATTGTAGTTGTAATTTATGACCTGTCTCCTCCAATATTCATTCTAGATCTTCTTGTCTCTGTTAAGTATCTTGGTTTGATGAGCCTTTTGCCTTTAGTGAGTAATCCAAGTCTTTATTTCTGAACGTTGTGCTTTATAAAAGCAAAACAAACAGTGGCAACAAATTCTTAAAAACAACTTTTTCAGATATTTGGAAATTAACAAAAGTCTTACAACAATCCATAGAATGTTTATTCAAGAAAAACAGCTGGATTTCAGTAAGAATGCTGTGCTTTGTTTTGTTTAACTTGTTCTAATTCCATTTTCCTCTCCTTCGTCTTGCAACTATAGTGGTTGTGAAAAACCACATCCTGCAGGCACTGGAGAAGGCAGAAATCCTCTGAGAATTGTCACTGTCGGACCTGGATAGCAGCCCACTGAAAGCCCATTCTCAGAACTTGTCTTTATTTGACCTGATTTAGAGCTCAGTCTTTATGAAAAGCCCCTTTCCCATGTCATTTGACAAAAACAATGAGTATGGGGCATTTAACATTACAACTACCTGAGTCAGCATTACTAGTTGGGGCTAGTATGTGGCTGACCTAAAAAACCTAAAATAAAACAAAACCAGGCAATAAGATGTCCATAGAGTCTTTAAAAATCTTTGACACACATTCCTGGGAATCATAGAAAGTCATAAGGCTGTGCACAGCTATACCACGGCCAAGAAAGACAGAAAGGGCTATAATCTCTTCTCTTGATGATCTTGAGGAAGCTAGCGGGAAGTGAAGGCTAAGACAGATCCAGGAAAATGTATACGCCTCCCCCCCAACTGCCCTATACACACACAGCCCCTCAGTGAAGCCAGAAGACTTAATGTTCAAGGCATTTATGAAAACTATCGGTCAGTCAGATGAAAATTAAGCTAAGTGCCTGTATATGACAAAGAACAAACTTTACAGAATTAGACCATAAAAGTAATTAAATAAATAAACACTAACATCAACAAAAGAAGATTAATAGCAGCAAGAAAAATTCCTAAGGAGATGTGATTTGCAGAGTTGCCCGTGATTGGCTTCATAGGCTTGGGTTATCTAGGTTTTCCCATAGATAAAATGTAATGAACAATTGCTAAATAGCTACTTTGGTTATTGCATTATTAGTATAACCAAAATCAGACACAATGTAGTCAAGAAACCATCTATATCTAAAATCTAGTATTTTCTAAATGTAAGTACTTAGAAGAAGGTGGGGCCTTCTAGATGTTATATATATTTTTTACGACCGTGAACATATGGCATCCTTTATTTTTTTAATCCTCATGAGGATATATTTTTATTGATTTTAGAAAGAGAGGAAGGAAAAGGGAGAGGGAGAGGCGGGGAGAGAGAGAGAGTGAGAGAGAGGAGAGAGAGAGAAACATCGGTGTAAGAGAAACATTGATCAGTTGCCTCACATATGTGCCCAAACCAGGCATTGAACCCATGACCTTTCTCTGCACAGGACGATGCTCCAACCAACTGAGCCACATCGACCAGGTGGTTTCCTTCTTGAAGCCATAACAAAAATAACATGTTGAAAACCTCTTTGGATATAATGGAAAGATCTGGTTTTAGTTATAAATAACTTAATAGATGGCTGCTGTAAATGTTTTCACTGAGTAGACTGAAACCATGTGTTGCAGTATATACTTTTGGATATCATAGTCAGCAAGGAGAGTACTGAATTAATGACAGATTCACTATGTGGAGCAGTGCCAGATGTACAATAATTTTAAAAATCATCTACTTATAATACGGTTTCAAATGTTCATATCAAATGTAATATAAATCTGCAATATTCTCTGAGATTATAGGATTTGAATCGAAATAGAACACATTTAACCAATGGTTATATGGGATGTGAAGCAGAGTGATAAATTCTCACTTTAACATTTACTCTTTGAGGTATATTTGAATTTGTTTTATGGCAGACACACCATCCAGAATATTGCATATGTGTATGAAAAGCGTACTGGTTAATGTAAGATAATCTTTTTTTCATTTGCTTATTTTCCCCCTCTTGCATCTAGAGATTATTATAGGGCACATATGAGATAGAACAAGAATGCCTGCTTAACCTCAAATCTATAATCTGTAAACTTGTCTGTAGATTCTCATTAGAAACTTGCTTTGTAACCGTGGTTGTCAGAGGCAGTTGATATGTCACCATTTTCATTGTTCTGGAAAGTTTCATATCTCAGCAGGAATAATGGCATGAATAGTTTGACCATTGAGATGTGAAATCAGAGTGAATATTAGTCAGTGAATATTACTCTTTTTAAAAAATATACCTCTAGCCAAACAAACACGTTTATGTGTCTAATGGACACAACTATAGCATTTCTTCATCGCTCCCATCCAGTTGACTCCTCTCTGCCATTTCTAATTTTTAAAAATGTTGTTTAGTTATTTATATGTTTATTTTTTTCCTTTTTTATTGAATTTATTGGGGAGACACTAGTTAGCAAAGTTATACAGGTTTCAGGTGCACTGTTCAACAACAGATCATCTCTACACTGTATTGTGTGTTCATCACCCCAAGTCAAGTATGCTTCCATCACCATTTATCTCTCCTGTTCCCTCCTCCATCTACCCCCAACCCCATTTCCCCTGCAGTCACCATGCTGTTGTCCATACTAGTATCCATGAGTTTTTTTCTTTTATTTTTTTTGCTCAATCCCTCTACTCGCTCACACAGATACATTGAGAAATATATCATGCATTGCATGTGCATGATGTATTTTAGTTTAGATCAACCGCTTTCGAATTTATTTTAGTGTGTGGAAGATGTGGAAATTAAAGAAAAAAGAGGTAATTTTTGGAAAGAACTGATCATTGAAAGGAAAGAGAGTAAAATGGAAACAACATGGCCGCATAACAGAATATAAAACAGCTGAAGCGATTATATGGTCAAATGTTCAGTCCCACTCAGAATAACATACTGTTATCTTTGAGACTCATTTGACCCAGTTCTTAGTTAAAAGTGTGGTTAACAAAATATATATTATTCTAGTCAGTGATTTTGTTGTTATTGTTAAATCTATTTTCTTTACAGACTAATAGGCATTACTCAGTGGCGTCATGAGATGGTCCCCAAAAAAAGATATTTGGTGGCACTAAGTTTTGTTCGTTTTTGGCTGTGAAATGTGGTAGAGGAAATGAAAACTAATATCTAAATGTAGCTATCCTATATCTTTTATCTAGCCATATTTATTCTGTCTTCTATTAAAAGAACCAAAAGTTAAATGCGTATGTTCTCTAAAAGATTCAGTGACTAAAAGTTATTTATTTATCTTTTTGAGTTTCTTACTTGGAAAAGCTTGACAATATTTCTCAAGTTAATTACTTAAATACTTAAAATATCCATAATAAAATAATAAAATAAATTTATAATGAATGAACTTCTAATCAATTATGAAGACTAAGTTAGCTTTACCCATTAATGGGACCTTATGTATACTCATTTATTTACACATTTGTTTCCAAATGTTTCCACAAGGTTTACTCTCTGTACTTTAAACATCTTATTCGCTAAAAGAAGTTTTTGTCTTTTCTTATAATCACTGCTCAGCAAATCAAAGATGCCTGTCAAATCTTCTTCCTGAAAAAGTAAAGGAGGAGGAAAAGTTGATCTTAGGGAGACAAGTTTATGGTTTCCATAACTGGGAACTACTTTGCAACCGTGTCCGAATTTTACTCTATTTAAACGTTCTTTGACATTTCAGATGGCTGTTAAACTGGAAGTATACATAAGCATAACTCATTGTCTGAAATTATTTCTTTCTAGGTAAACAGGATTATAAAAAAACCAAACCTATTTTACGAGCAGCCAAATTAAAAGCAGAAGCAAAGAAAACAGCAATAGGCATTAAGGTACCTATACTTGATTACTTTAAGATGTGATCTATTCATGCCACTTTGTTTTCTATCACTGGATTGCATAAATGTTGAGTTCTAAATGTTTTATGACATTTCAGAATCTAAGTCGAATGCCAGAATTGAAGGTTTTTATAAAGGATTTACTTAATGGGAAACATCCTTCTTATCCCGAGATTTTACCAGGTCTTAAAATAAAACACTGTGTCACTTGCAAGAACCAGTTATACTTAAATTTGCAATTTATTTTTCCGACTACTAAATATACATTTCAGTGATTTATGTGGCCTAAATAAAAAATTCTCATTTTCAGTAAATTTCATTTGACAGTTGTTTAAATTTTAGTTGTAATTATATATTCTTAGATCATTAATATATGTCAGTTTACTCTTTGAATTATTATTGTTGTCAGTTCTCTCTATGATGGAATTCTAATCATGTTCCCAAACTTGTTCTCTCAGAAAAGGAACTGAGAATGATATTAGCAGATATTAATCCATTGTGCTAGCACAATGAAATTCAACAAAATTACATTTCCATTATTACCCATGTCAATTCTTTGCCAAGTATTTATACTCAAATCAAACTATTAATAGGAAAATTAATTTGGTGGCTTTACTGTCAAGTGTGTCAAATTGTAATGACTAGTACATATATTTTATTTAAATATTAAAATGTTAAAAGAAGATTTTGGGTATTTTATCTGGCAGATGAAAAATCAATTTTTCAAAGTTATAGCTTATAGCAAATGCCAAGGTATTACTACCAAGCTGTAACAGCTGTTGAACTGCCAGATGATATATTTGGTTGTCTTCCAGAATTTGCTATTATGATGAAACACTGCTTCTTTTTACTCCTGATTGCTGATTTTGATCAAGCATTGCCGTGTGATGTGATATGTTTTTATAATACAATCTCCTCAGTTAGTGCTGGGTCAGTTTTTAATGAAAATAAAAAAGTAGATTGCCCTTTTGTTTAAAAGAGAGATGATTAATCTTTTGAAGTTTTCTTCTAATTTCATATGAAATTTCATTTTAAAAATTATTTCCATAACATAACCTTTCTAAAAGCAGTGCTTAGTTTTTTTCTTTTACAATTAGTTACCCGATTGTTGTCTTTTGTAATGAGAACATTACAGAAGTCATTTTTCACCAAGGTAATATGTTATGTACTTTGACTTTTCACAATGTTGTGTTTTTGTTTTTAGAAAATATTGGGCCAGCTAACTCCACATGTGGCACAATAAAATGAACAACTGTAATGTAAAACTTGAGAAATAGTGCAGCCATTCATCTATAAATATATGCCACTTTCTCATACACATCCTCCTTTTTATTTGCTCTTATAATTTTTTTTAGTTCTCACCCATGTATATGTTTATTGAGTTTAGAGATAGAGGAAGAGAGAGAGAGAGAGAGAGAGAGAGAGAGAGAGAGAGAGAGAAACATCATGTGAGAGAGAAACATTGATCTGTTGCCTCCTGTATGCACCCCCAATGGGGATCAAACCTGACACCTAGGTATGTGCCCTGACTGGGAATGAACCCTCAATCTTTTTGTTGTATGGGAGGATGCTCCAACCAACTGAGACACCAGGCGGGCTGCTCTTATTATTGTTGTTGTTTTAACTTAAGGAAATAACTATGTTCCCGGTGTGAGATGAGTCTACCTTATAGTGCAATTATTTGTCTTTTTAAAAAGCAATGTGGAATTTGTTTATTTATGAGAAAATTTTTCTTAGATTTCATTTACAGTTTGAAGTATGTGCATAAGAGTTTCTGACATCAGAACATAACTTTTTAAAAATAAGCTAGCATATCATTTTGGTTTATGAGCGTATGGGAGAAAAGCCTTAACTTTAAATATTGTTTACTTTGCTTGCAAATTTATGTAAAGAGCTCATTAAATAATATGAAACTTTTTAGAATCAGAACCGTGGAGGTGTTTTACATTTCAAATCTGGCATACCAATTAGTTTGCCCTGTCAAAGTTTGATTACATTGTCATTTTAGCATAGGATTTTAAATAACAAAGTTTCTTTTAGCACTTGCTATTTAATGCTATTAATTTCCCCAGCGAGTCATTTTATCCATATTGATAATGTCAGAGAAGCAACTAGGGACTAATGAACATCAAACATGTTTGACTCTTATCTGGTTGATACAGGATGGCCATAATATGACAATAGTTTACCACTTCACTGCTTATTCTTTAAAATGAATTATAGTTATGGTCTTAAAATAACTTAAATCTACAGAAACTATGAGTAGCTGCATGGAATAGAGAAATCACAGAAATGACAACAATGAACACAACATAAAGAGGCCCAGGATCAAATCCCTCCTGCCTCTAGCTCTTACCGTGATCCAGCTGAATTCAAGCTGGCACATTTGTAAGTGGAGATTATTCCATTTACTTCACAGTGTTAGGAGAGTTTAATATTAAAAGGAAAATACTTAACATTGAACCTAGCACATAGAAGTCCTTTATGAATTGTTAGCAGATCGAATAAGTATTTATTTGTGTTAGTTATTACTGGTTTGTATAAATAAGAGTTTCCTTGGATGTTTGTCACTGGCCTGATGATCCCCGATTTCAACTAAGTCTGCATTGTGTGACTACATTATATATTACAAAATGTTCTCAGTTTTGCTGTGGAAATAGTGTTATGTAGTAGTATTATTACTGATGTGAAGTTTCCAAAGCATTACATAATTTTAATAAACTTTACATCTAAATTGTATAAATCTTAATCCTTTGTTATTAATTTAAAAATTACTATAGTACCATGATGTTGTAGAACCTGTGGAAAGATTAATAAGACATGATTATCTTAGAGGAATGTATACAAAAAATCATTTCCAGATTTTAGTACCATGGAAAGTTATCAGTATTTATTGAGAAATCACGAGCTGGAAATATAAAGAATTTTACAATAGGGTCCTTAACTTCAGAGGCTCTAGCACTTTCTGTAAGTGTATGTTTAGAAATAGAAAATGTTTTAAGGAAACAGTCATTATTTAGAATAAGAATAGCAGTCAGAATCTAGGATTAATTTCTATTGAGAAGCTATTTTTATTTCCTCTGTCTTACCAATGTAAACAAAATGTCCTAATGTATGGCCCACTAATGCAATGAATATCACCTAAAATATATCTGCACAATAATATGTGCTATTTGGCTGCTGTCCAATTAAAAGATTATATTTCAAAAATTACAAAATCACTAAAAATATTTTTAGAATATAAATACCTATGTTTCCTAGTATTTAGAAGGAAAAAGATAAGCTGAATTTGTTAAATAAATAGTTAACTAGTTTATTGAAATGTTTAGTTGAAAGGTATAATCATAATAAAAGAATAAAAATAAAAATTTAGTATCAAAAAATTCTTTTATATAAACAAAAATATCCAAGTGTCAACCAGATCCTTCTAACAACCCCTTCAGATGAGCCAGCTGGAAACATTTTTTATTTTTTGTTATTTCTGATTTAAAACTAAAAATGGCCAGGGGGTGGAGCCATTAATGCCTACAGGTTTCTAAGTTAAGGTTAGTGCACCCTGAAAGAAGTATCTTCTAACTTTACCGTGCTTTAACCCTCCAAACATGCAGTTTCTATAATACGCGTCTTCTTAACAGAATAGGACATTTGGAAAAAAACTTATTTGCTATACCTCTCCATCCAATACTTTTTAAGCCCTCCCTCCCACACCATATATTGAATAGACTTAATTGAATTAATGGGTCCTCTGACCTTGTATCCTATGAATGTTCTCTGCTTCCTACCCTTAAGGCCTTTTATAATGCCTCTGGATATTCTGAAAATGTACAGTAAGATGATATAGAGTTATGTGAAAGGACAAGAAGAGGTTGAAAAGCACCGATCAGAGGCGATTATCAATGAGATGAGAATCATGGCCTCCAGTCAAGAGCACAGAAGTTATTCTTCCGTTAAATACATGTGAGTGGACACCAAGGCTGTTGGATAGCTTTGTTGTCCACTATAGAGAACAGGTAGACTTTGCAGATGTGGGCCACTTGTCTATACGTCCTTTTAGAATTGGTCGCTGTGTAACCAGATGGGTCTGGGAGCACAGCTGTGGCTGTAAGAAAATGAATGAAACCTGTCTGATGCTACCATGCCCTTTGGAGATGCCAGAATGTTCCAAACTGCAGCAAAGAAAAATTCACTTTCATTTGACATTATATATCAGATCAGAGAAATCAAATCTTAGAAAAATAGTTGACACTGAATCTTTTAACCCCATGGCTTTTATTAATATTTATTCTCACAGTTTGGAAATCTAAGTAAATGTAATTATGAAGTTAAAAATCTGTATAAGGTGTCCATTTATAATTTCAACAATCAGGTAAACATTTCCTGTTGACTATAAACCATGTTTGTTAGCATAGGCAGCTAGGCAGCTAGGCAGCTAGTTAGAAATTAATGAAAGAAACGGGAACGGGAACAGAACTGGCTATGCCTAGGCCTGATTAAGTGTGGAAGTTATAGCTTCAGATACCCCAGGAGATTGCTGAACCCCTGCCAAGAGGATTCACACCTCCCCCTCCCCTATACCCTTCCTCCCCCCCGCCCCCTCCCCGACCCCAGTGGGTAGTGGGGAGGGACTGGCTTTCCAGTCCTCCCGGGGGACGACCAGTTCCCTCCCTGGGAAATTCTTTGCTAGGCACATGGGCAGTAGAAACCAAGATGGCACATGGGGAGAAAGCATGTGTGCAGTGGAAACCAGATGAGGAGGCAAAACTCCGAGGCATGCACAGTAGGAGCCAAAATAGCCACATAAAGGGCAGAGCCTAACCTGGGAAATCTCAGAAAAGGATCCGATTGGATAAGGGACAGGAAACCCAGTAGATCCTGAAAAAGGATTGGTTAGGGGAAGGGCCCAGCATAGACCTGGGAAGGATTAGGAAAGAGATTGGTGAGTTTGAAAGAAGGCCTGCTCTCTCCCAAAAGCAATGTCATATACGCAAAGCTTAACAAAGGCCCTTGGGGGTAGCACATGTGCATTCATTCATTCATGTGCTTGCTCTCTCTCTCTAGTACTCACATGGCCCAAGCTGAGGCCCAGGTGTGGCCCCAGTGCAGCATTGGTGGGGGATGAACAGGTGGAGAAATGAGGCACAGAGAATTCGGCATTAGTGGACCCTGGCCCTCCTGGGCTTGGGGACCACAGGTGCAGGGCTGAGACCCCAGAAGCAGGACTGCCACAGAACAGAGCTGTGAGTGAAACACTGACATCTGGGCACAGTTTGTTTTTGCTCCAATAAATCTTAACATTACACCTTATCCACCCGCCAGTGTGTGGTTCCCCGAAATGCTTTTCTCATGGCCCCCTTTTCACCACAACATACTCATTTTAGTGTTTTTAACGTTTATTAGTTGGCATATGTTGAATTATTGCTTTTGCATTCTAATGAAATGTAAAATGCACTCATGTGAGTGCAAATAAATTACTGTATCGTAAAATAATGCCAGGAAGGGGTGTGAGAAATGAGTGAAAATTAGAAGGCAGTGGTTAGGCCCTTTAGGATACGGAACTGGCACTATTTGCTGTTTTTTGTATTTAGCCAAGTGATATGTTACTATTGAGGAAATTCCTTGATGGTGTGTATATATTTTAAAATTTTATAGACTTTTTGAGACATAGTATGAATATTGCCATTTATATGTAGTATTTTTTTTAACTATTATTTCAACATAATTGATTAATATGACCCACATTAAATTACCAAGGAAAAATCCAGGGCCATTCTTCACAGTTGTGATGAATTATACTGTATCATGCTTCATGAACTGAGTGTTCAGTTTGTCTTACCACATTATATAATCTATAGGATTTAGAATATAAAAATTAGAGGTTCAACAAAATAATCTATCCTATATAATAGAAGGCTAATATGCAAATTGACCCAACAGCAGAACAACAAGTCGCTATGACATGCACTGACCACCCAGGGGCAGACGCTCAATGCAGGAGCTGCCCCCGGGTGGTCAGTGCACTCCCACAGGGGGAGGGCCACTCAGCCAGAAGCCCTGAGCCGGGCTCATGGCTGGTGAGTGCAGCAGTGGTGGCGGGAGCCTCTCCCGCCTCCGCGGCAGCACTGAGGATGTCCAACTGCCGGCTTAGGCCCGCTCCCCACTATGGGCTCTTGGACTGTGAGAGGGCACAGGCCAGGTTGAGGGACGCCGCCCCCCCCCCCTCCCCAAGTGCACGAATCTTATGCACCGGGCCTCTAGTCCTATATAATAAAGAGCTAATATACTAATTACACTGCATGGCAGAACGACCTTCCATAACGACCGTCCAGATGACCTTCTGGAATGACCAGTGGGCTGGGACGCGGGGCCACGAGGCAGCCGGGGCTGTGAGGGCCGAGGCAGGTGGGGCTGTGAGGGCTGAGGCAGCTGAGCCAAGCCCTTGCACTAATTTCATTGGGCCTTTAGTATATATGTAAAAGCCTAAGAGACCATTCGACCATTTGACTGGTAGCTAGGACACGCACTGGCTACCAGGGGGCAGATGCTCAGCGGACAGGCATGGAAACATGAAACAGACTGATGAATCTCAGAGGGAAGGGGAGAAGGGGGAGGGCAGGAAGAGATTAACCAAAGATCTTATATGCATACTAGAGGCCTGGTGCACGGATTCCTGCACCAGTGGGGTCCCTCAGCCTGGCCTGTGGGGATTGGGCTGAAACCGGCTCTCTGACATCCCCTCAGGGGTTCCGGATTGCAAGAGGGCACAAGCCAGACTGAAGGCCCCACCATTTGTGCACTGGGCCTCTAGTATTTAATAAAGATGTTAAAGAGGCATAATCTATTAGAAAAGAAATGATCATTTAATTTTTAAAGATCTGTGACTTAAGTGCAACTCTAATAATAAATTTATTGAAGCAAGAAATAAAATTAAACATAACTAAATAGAGAATAGATAAACTTTGTAGGCGCAAACAACATTTCTTGTCCCCAACATTTTGATATCCAAACTATGAAGACATATTTAAAAGTATAAATGTTAATTTCACTATTAGTGAAACGCAAACAAATTAAATAAAAATAATATAGAATGACGCACTCACTGATGTACTTGCCATTGAAATGGATATTGTCAAATTATGCTTCTTAATGGCAAAAGTGTTCAAATGAATGTGATTATTAGTTTCAAAATGTTCATTCGAGACTGGAATCGTGGTTATTTTATCTGAAGAAACTGATAACATTAATGAATCTCATTTTATCAATTTCAAGTCTACTTTCTTTTTCTTCCTCAGGAAGTTGGCCTTGTACTCGCAGCTCTGTTGGCCCTCCTCCTGGCTTTCTATGCTTTCTTTTATCTCAGACTGTCCACAGATGTTGACCCTCATCTGGAACCGGATGAAAATTAGCTGAGCAGCAATCAATGCATTATAAGAAAATATTTATAAAAGGACCTTTGGGGAGCAGTGCTTTCTGAATACTGAGACTACAACATCTTGAGTTCTTCCTGCTAGTATTTTCACTTTGGAGAAATATTTTTTAAATAGTTGCGTAGTGTATCAAGAAAAGAACCTTACCCTAGCAATGTAGTGTAATGTATGCTACTGAATACTTTCATAAATCCTCCTACTTACACAGGAAACCTGTTCATGGCGCATTTAGATAAAATGGGAAACAGATCCCAAATCCTTCAGATGTTTTACCAGTCTACATGGATAACTCCATCACTTGCAGATTCCTAAACCTATTTTTGTTCCATGCATACATCAGAAGCCAAAGTATATATCCTTATTTACAGAAACATACTCAAATCACATCCAGGGCCGAAGAAGGAGCGAAAAGTCATGGGAAATTTTTTGTTTTACAAAGAAGTCTTGCTTTCTTTCCAGACATATTTTGTATCATTAGAGAGACTATCTGCACAGACAGCTACAGTAATCTTTTTCCTTCTTTGCCAACTGTTCAGTGCACATGTGCTCCATCAGAAGTGGCACCTGGATGACAGAAGCGCAAAGAGCCACATATGTCTCTGAAATAGAGTTCCTTTCCTCCTAGGCCGTCTAAGCTGGTGTAAATAGAAAGTTCAGTTGATCTTGATTTTAATTAACTTATGAGACTATTAATATAAACTTGGAATTCTATTTTAATTATGTTGTTCTGGCTGCTTGCGGTATCAGTTTGCTTCTCTTGTTCGGGCTTTATGCAGCAATCTGTCATATAATTGTGCAGTCTTTTTCACGTACGGTACTAGGAGAAGCCCTACCTATTCAGAGTAATTTTCGTGGGTCATGGTTATCTTTTAAAGCTGAACGATACAAGGTATTTTACAAAATTACATTTTTTTCTCTTGACAGATAACCAATTAGAACTCTTTTATGAAAAAAAAGTAGGAAATATATGTCTCATTACTGGCATATACAGCTTTTTGTTTATATAATTTTTTCAAGCTATTTTGCATTTGTTACACTATAATGACAAATATATTCAATATTTTTATTGATAATGGAATTTCTTCATATTTTTAGAACACATGAATACATAAAGGTTAGAAAATGGAAGAATATGTGTTTACTGTTTACTGATAGATAACTACTTTCTTATATAAAGATTTATAGAAAAGGAATAGTTTGAAACATGTGCACAAAATGTTTTATAGTATATGCATTCTACTTATGAAGAATAAATAAAATGTTAAAATTGTTTCCATACTTGCCAAGGGAAGAAAGCTTTCATAAATACCCTACAGATTCTTTGAGACTTTTGCAAATAGTGGATGTGACTATAGCATTATGTTCTGCAGAATGTTTTCAAGTTGCATAATTATTCATCAGTGTGAAAACAGCCAAAATTTCCAATATTCTCACAAATCATTTATGCCAAACATTTGAGGGCAAAATTTAGACACTGTTATTTACTGGATTCTTCCCCTTGAAATCACAAACTTAAGAGGCAGACCAAGAGTTCTTCTACACTCACCGCAGCAGACCAACCCAAATGGCATTTTTAGGAAAGGTTACAGCATTTAATGCCATGTGGTATGTCTGTCTGTGGAGTGGGTGGCAAAGGAATATCCAAGCTGGCATTTTGGATCTGATGGGCCTTTTACTTTCCCAAGTGACAGGCCACATGTCAAGAAATACTTTTTTCTCCACTCCTATTCCATTTACGTGAACAGTTTTCATGTAGTTATTCCCCCTCCCATATGGCATTAAAAACAGTCTTACTAAAGTTATTGCTAATTTCAGTGATAATTTAAATGAGAGGATATGTAGTAATTGTTTATTAAATACCAATCCAAGTGACATATAACAGAATTCGTAATATATAAAATAGATGATTATACTCTTGGAAATGTTTGAATATTATCGTGAAAAAAACAAAACAAAACAAAACAAAACCCACTAGGTAATAATAAAGTGTCATTACCTAGTTTTCTGATACCCTGAACCTATGGCTAGTCCGTATGACTGATTGACTTAGGATAGCCACAGACAACCGTAAGTCCCAAAGGCTAAACTCGGATTTTAATAAATAGCAGGTAAAATGAGACAACATATGCTTATATAATACTGTTTTTGTGAAGTGCAAATATTGCATACTCACGTTAACTGGGAAGCAGCCAGTCCTCTGCAGAGAAATCCCAGATCGTAGTCTGGTTTCAATCTTTGAAGAGGTAGGTGGTAGTCAGCCTGCAGCTCCAGGGGGCTACACGTTTGAGTAGTAAGTGGTGTTTGGCATAAATCTGCGACTGGCACCAGATACAAACTTGAAGCATGGGTTCCCCCCCCCCCCCCAATAATTGACTGCTCAGAGTAACCCAGAAGACAAATACAGGAAAATTATAATGACTTTTCAGAATGTTAGAATCTGCTCACATATTCTGCAGAATAAATTGCAACTAATGCAGCAGACTTAATATATTGCCTATGTGAATGAACCTTGGATATAAAATAAAGATTAAAATTCATTTGAGAAGAAATATTGTAAAAATATAACCTCATCTAGAATTTCTTTTAAAACAAATGAACAAAAAGTCTATCTTAGTAGCAGCATGGGGTTTGTTATTGTTTTAAGGTGGCAAAACACTTGAAGATTTTCTGTCTTTTCAATATTTCATAAAGATGGAAAGAGTACCCCCATCCCAACCAGTGATTGTAAGATACTGATAATATGTTCTTATGTTCTTATTCATTTTTATAATTTCAATAATATAGTGATCTACACGTATTTAATAAATGCATGTTAAAATTTCAGTTAATATTTTTTAGTCCTCCTAGAGTCTGGCACAGTTTTTGTATGTATTAGATGATCAAATTTATGTGCACCTAATAAATAAAATTTAAAAATTACAATATTCATCAACTCTTAACACTTAGCATTTATGGTCATTGGTTGAATTGGGACGTATATATGTTTCATCCTGGTTCTCTTTAATATCAAGAAACCAGCATTACATTTACTGTGGAGAAGACAAATTCCTCTTTTCTATACTCGAATGTTTTTAATATAACTCAGTATGCATCTTCATTCCTCATGAAAGTAACGCTAAATTTTCATTATGATGTTTATATTTATATGAATGCTGAAGCACTATATTTTCCAGGTTCTAAAATATATAGTCAGTGATAATTCAGTAGTGCAAAGTATGCTTTAGATAAATAAACTTCAAAAGTCAACTTCTATAAACGTAAATTTTAATGTATTTTTTTTCTTTCATAATAGAAGGTTGTCGAGGCAGAGACTATCTAAAATAAGTTTGTTTTCTTTTTACCAACAGTTAGTTGACACTTATCTGAAACTTCTCTGGGGAGATTTCTACCCTTCGTTCGCCCTTAGCAGCACTGCCTTCTTTTCTGTGACTGGCTCCCATGCGCCTCTATAGAATGCTGTTTGCTAGAGTTTGTTCCATTGACACCATATCTAGAATCACTGCAACCCACAGTAGACAAACAAACAAACAAACAAAACAACTGTAACAGATGAATTCAGTACCTACATAAACATTCTTACTATTTTGTACAGGGTCTATATAGAGGGAACCGGAGGAGTCACTTAAATAACTATAGCACCGGGGCAGTATCCATAGTGAATCAGTAAATTCATGCAAAAACATGGAACTGCTGCTGTATTCTGCATTTGCCTCTTTGTTAATTTTTTTTTTTTTTTATCACCAGCAACAGACTCGAGATCCTTATTTCTAGAAAAAGAAGATCCTTTAAATGCTAGAAGATTTTTTGATGACAGCACCTCCCTCTATTCTTTATTTTTTAAAAACAACAACCAATTTGGTGGGGAGGCAGCCAAAATCTGAGGTACCAGTGCCTCTCGAACAGATGTCACACCATTATTTTTTAGCTCGTTTGAATGAGTAAACATGTTAAACTGTGAAGTATTACATTTTAGATTTTTTTTTCATTAAAAAAAAAGAGAGACAGTCTGTTTACTGTCCTAATTGAGACAACAATCCTGTAGTTGCCAGTTTTGGCAGTCATAACAATGAACTGTAAATATTTGGACCAACCAAGTAAATGGTGACTATAAAGGCTATAGCGTGTGTAAAGTTCTGTTTTTACGGACACCCATTTTAGCACGGCATTTTCCCCTGACTTCTTTCAATGCAATTATTTGTGTAAATCTGAAATTTCTTGATAAGCCTGGAAGAAATATATTTCAATATCTAGTTTCATTCTAGTTTATCATCCGTTTTAGTGTTGAGCTATCTGTCTGCTTGTAAATTGCTTCTGCTGCTGTTCTATGGAGTGTGACAAGGCAGGTCTTCATTGGTGTGCCCAGCCTGTACCTACTAGGATAACATGAAATTCAGAGGATCCTTTTTCTGTTTTCATATTTATAAAGTGAGATTAAAAACATTCAAAAATCTCTTAAATTTCAGCAATTCATTTGTTTTTTTAATATACATAATTTTATTACAAAGTTTAAAAAAATGCAAGTCCAGAAAACCTAAAATTTACTATTGTTGCTAATTCCTATGCGTTTGCTGTGCTACCATACACAAGTCAAGAAAGTACAGAAACCATGAAATATTTAGAAACACCTAACAGCAGAAGCCTTAAAATCTAACTGTATGTGGTAGCCCCTCAGAAAGCTACAACCTGTAGCTTTTTAATGTTTTAATAAAAGTGCATGCCTGGCTTCAGGTTGTGCCTAGTAATGAGCAGATCAAGAGGTGGCACCTTTTTAAAAAAAAAAAAAAAATTCTAATAAACTATTCCATGAGCCCTCTTCTGTGAACATGGTTACCCCCTAGGAACATTCTGAAAAGCAGAGCTGACATGATTAAAACCTCACAAGTAGGTTTTTAAGGATGAAATGGAAAGCCACACTTGGCTTCCCGGCTAGATCTGAACAGTAAAGAAGTAATTTCAGATCAATCTGTAGAAAGATTTTACCTCTGATCATGAGCAAACAGAGGCCCCTCCAGTAGGTGCCAGGAGTCATGTGATGGGCACTAATGATGTCTGCTGCCTTTTATCATCTGTTAGGGACAAGTCACATCTATGTCCACACAGGCCGGGAGGGCATTTAATGAAACAAAGCAGCATTGTTGAGCTCCACGTTTCCCAAACTTCTTTGGTCCTAGAAATGAGGCTCCAGGTTCATTAAATTGTAGCTCATGGAGGTATTCCACAATTTTATTTTACTGAACCACAACTATAATGATTCCAGCTCAAAGCTTTAATAATGCACTTACCCACTCTCTGTTTCAAAGAAAGTTCAAATGCAGAAATGTAGTTTTAATATATAATTGTATGTTTATTATAGAAAAAATACAAACTATAAGTCCTGGCTGGGTGGTTCAGTTGGTTGGAGTGTTGTCCCGTACACCAAAAGGTTGCAAGTTCGATTCCCCGTCAGGGCACATACCCAGGTTTCAGGTTCAATCCCTGCTGCAGGCACTTCCTGAAGGCAACCAATTGATGTTTCTCACATCAGTGTTTCTCCCTTTTTCCCTCTCTCCCTCTTTCACTTCTCTCTAAAATCAATACAAACATATTCTCAGGTGAGGATTTAAAAAAATACAAAAAAATAATTAAAAATTCAATCCAAGTCATAGTATCCAGAAATATGCCCTAATAATGTTTACATATTTGTTATTTTGCTTTTAGCTTTCTAAACTTCATGATACCTTCATATTGTTATAAAAATATGCAATTTACTTGTTCTTAGGCCTCAATGGCTTGTGACTACAGTAATACCCAAATTTTTGCTATTTTAACCAAAAAAATGCATACATATAGAAATTACTATATTCTTATTTATTCATTCACTCAACAAATATTTATTGCACTTCTACTATCTACAGGGTACTTTTTAGCACCTGGAAATATAGTAGTGAATTAAAACTAATAGAATCTTTGTCAACACAGAGCTCATATTCTGGAGGAATAAGTAAGCAGACATGAAATAAACATGAAAAAATGCAGATATATACACATAATATGTCAGGTGGTGAGAAGTGCTACTGAAGAAAAGGAAGGGAGGGAGGCGGAGAATAAGAGTCCCCACTCATCCTGGTTGCTCAACCACAGCACAATTCAGACTATTCTCGATGTCTTCAGATCTGCTTGACTTTTGCCCTGACTACCTCTGTGACTCACTCTTTTACTTCTTCCTAATCTTTACTCAGATGTCACCTTCTCAATTTAAAATTGCAACCCAATGCCACCTGTCCTACCCCAGCACTAACAAGACACTTACTATAGTCTTATTCACTACTTAGCACTTTTTACTTTTGAACATTGTGCATATGTATTTTACTTAGCTATTATCTGTGTGTGTGTATATATATATATTAATAAAAGGGTAATATGCTAATTAGACCGGATGTCTTCCAGCCAAGCCACAGTGGTGGGGGCCAAGGCAGAGGCAGCTAGGGGTGATCAGGCCAGCAGGGGAGGGCAGTTAGGGGCAGTCAGGCAGGCAGGGGAGGACAGTTAGGGGTGATCAGGCTGGCAGGCAGGCAGGCGAGCAGTTAGGAGCCAGCAGTTCCAGATTGCGAGAGGGTTGTCACAGATTGGAGAGAGTGCAGGCCAGGCTGATGGGCCTCCCTCCCCTACGCACAAACTTCGTGTACCGGGCCTCTAGTATATATATATTTGTGGGATGATTAAAGTGGAAATGTTGTATCCATGGTTGAATACCTAAGATTTGAGTTTAGGAGGAAAAGTTCATGCTAAAAATACAAATTTTGGAGTTCTATGGAGTGACACTTTCAGTCAGAAAATTTGAAGTCCTCCTAGGGAATGAGTGAAAATAGAGAAAAGGAGAGGTCTCTGGAAAAGCCCTTAAGCATGCCGATGTTAAATCTGCCAGAAAAGGAACCTTTAGGGAAGAGGGCTTAGAAAAGTAGATAGGAAAAGTAAAATAAACAGAGCATAGCTTCCTATAATCCAAGCGAAGAAAATGTTTCAATAAAGAAAATGTGAGCAAATGTGAAATATTTTTGTGTTTGTCACTCTTTGGTACTACACTGCAAGATCACCTCTGTATTTCTAAGTCATAAATACATTTTATTGTCATTCTAATCATATTACAACGTATTATATTCTAATTGTCATACAAATACAATTAGCCACATGCAACACATGCACATAAACTGCAGGGTGTCCCAGTCAACGAATAACAAACATCGTCAAAGTCTTAAGATGCACAACTCTACTTTGGAGACCATTGATCTACAAAAGAAGACTCAAAGGGACCTCAGGTTGAGACTGTCTGAAGAAGAGTTCAATACCTGCTTTCTCAATTGTCTTTGCTCTCCAATGTTTTCTACTCCGGTCAATGGCACATCTTTGTATAGAAGCCTGGCTCTTCCCTCCCTTCTAGCCAAGGGACTAGCTGTTGGCTTCACATCCTGGCCTCTTCCCCTCTGCACTTTCACTTGCCTTCTGTCTTCTCCTTCCTTACTGCGGACGTCTTCTAGGCCCTTCCTATTACCCTTTCTGTCTTCCCTTCATAACCCAATGCATCTCTCTTAAGGTTCATCTGTATTCACTCACTCTCCTTTTCACTTCCATTTCTTTACTCCTCTGTTGCATTTGACTTATGTCCTCACATCACCACCAGCTCTGATCTAGCTGAGATTACTAAGAATCTCCTAACTATCCAAAGCAATGGACAATTTTCAGTCTTGACTTTGCCTATCGGTAGCATTTGGCACTGTTGGAAGCTATCTTCTGCTTGACACCCTTTATTCTCGTGGCTCAGTCACACCATATTACCTCCTTCACGTCTCCTGATTCTTTGCAGCCTCCTGGGTGTTCCTCGGAGTTCAATCCATAGTTCTCAGTACTCCTTAGTCTTTAATCTACACGAACCCTTGTTCCAATCTAATTAA